GGGGGAGGGAGAAGTGTTTGAGTGCTAGTGGGAGCATGTCTGCAAAATATTAATGAATCTGTAAAAGCAAATGACCATATTTGCTCAGTGTGCAAATTCGTGAACAGATTCTCATGGCAGGAAAGAGAAACCCGGTCTCTATTGTATTTTTTTTTTAGGTTTGTATTTTCATGCAGTCTCTGGGCCTCGCTTTTATTTTGGTTCTCAGCAAAGACAGTGAAGCCATAACAGCTGTTGGCCAGAGTTGCTATGTGTATGTGGGTGAGAGTGGATACTTGCATACCCCAAATGTAGACATGGTGAAAGAGAATGTGGAAGGGTGTGTCTGCACTTCTGCTTCAGGATGTCTGTCCACTCTGGTCTGTGAACATGCTGTGGATGCTGGAATAGGAATAGGAGGGTGTGTGAGCCATAGATGGATTCACAGTTTGTCACAGTGTGTCAGTTTGTTTGTTTGTGTCAGAATGTTTTCTTCTCATATTTTCCAGCTTTTGTTTTTGGACCAGATGTGTGTCTGTGTATAAGTTCACAAGTTCGGGCACTCAATTAGAACATGAGGGCACATTATAACACATTGCTTTAGGGGGGACACACACACACACACTCACACACACTCCTTTGTCTGGCAGTGCTCCCCTCCCTCTAACGTGGGTAGACAGGCCCATCAAACTTTCATAGTAATGGGCAATAGTCTGCATTTGTTAAGGTGTGTTTGTCCTGTCTAAGAACCTTTTTTGTCCTCATGTTTTAAGCAAGGGTCTTGGACAGGGCAGGCAGACAGGGAAAAAGCAGGGGGCACATGAAGAGGCGATCATAGATGGGTTTAGATTATCTGATGGAAGGAAAGGGGGGATGGTAGGAGGTTATTCGGAAGGGTGGGGAGAGTGAGTAGAGGAGACTGGCTTAGATATGAAAATGGGCACAGTAGATGTCCCTAGGGTTTTGGGGTTGGGGCGAGGCTGGTAGAGAGGTTGTGGGGTGTTGGGTTGGAAGAGAGGAGCTTAGTGTCTCAGAGTGGGGTGGGGGTGGACCACTAGTGCCCTCCATCCAATGCCGTAATGGGCGTATTGTAGTATCTTGTGCTGGTTTTGATAAAATGAAATGGAGAAAAGCTTATTTTTCATTTCTTATATAACAAATAACCTGTCTTCACTGTTTCACTCCGATTCCAACTTGAACTTCAACATATGTTGTGTTGCGTTCAAGTCTCCCGAAAGAATCTGCTGACTTTTAAATGTGATTAAAAATGTGTTTCAAAAGCAAAGCAGTGGGAATAAGTTTAATTTGTTGATGTGTACTTTATATATGCCAAGTGTCCATCCTAAAAAAGAATTTAAAAACAGATTTTAGTTTCAAAAACAGTCTGGGATTATGTTTTAGCCTGGACAGCAGGCAGAAAAGACTTATGTTTCTGTTTGAGCCATGTTTGCTAATTAAATTGTGTCAAAACATTATAGCTAGGCATTTCATCTTTCTTGTGTGGGCATTTTTCCCCCCCATTGCCATTTCTTCCTGTAGCGATTGGTGATGCTTATGGTACTGCGTTAATAGATTGTCATATTTGCTTTGCGACTCTTCATCTTTGGTCCAGGTCCTTTCTTTTTGTACCTTTGCTTTTTGTTCATTGTAGTTTTTTCTATAAGCCAAAATCCCTTTTGTCTTGTTTACAGTGTCACAATCATGCCCAGCATGCATGTGTGTCGTCATTTTAATATGCCTTCATAGCCTTGTTAGTATAGACAAGAGATTATTTGTAAAACTCTAAAACACTGCTAGTATGTACAGAGATTTGTTTTAAAATGAAAACATATTTGTGTGACTGAAGTCTTAGTCCTCTCGTCATGTCAAGGCTCATATTTTTATTTGTTTAGTTTGTTTCGAGTTCACCTGTTTGACGAAAGAAAATTTCATACTTTGAAGATAAAGTGAATTCATTACAGCACCGAATACGAGATGTGTTCTAGAAAACGGCTTACAGAGTAGTAAGAACACAAAAACAAGACTGAAGCAAAAGCCATCTCAATGTGCCTTGTCCATTTTATTCATGTATTTATTTTTCAAAATGTTTGGTTCATTCCTCCTTACCTGTTGAAGAAAACCCTTAAAAATAGAGATCTGAATGAATTTTAATCAGGGGATAAGGCAGGAAAGGGTTTGCTCAGCTATCACATGGCTTCAAAAGAAGTTACAACAGACTTGCTTATATTCTGTTTATCTTGGACCCAAATGATAAGGTGTATGGTGAGTCACATGGCATATAAAAAATTGAAGAGGCACACCCAAACTTGTTGTGTATAATCCTCACTGCCATCCACATTTTTTCACTCATTTGGGATCCAAAGGGCCCTGATTCTCTCACGTTGCTTTAGCCCTTTGATTGGACAGATTCAAATACCAAAGTCACACTCATTTCTGTATTTCTATTTTTTATTTATACATTTTTTCATCAAATATCCTTCCTTCTTTCCAGTCCGCTGATATAATATTGTACATGCAATACTAAAGAAAGCCATAGTTAGTGTTGGGGCTGGGCAGAATAGAAAAATTTTGATATATTGGTACCAGTTTATGTAATATTCAAGAATAAATAAATTCTAAATAACAAATATGCTTAATGGGGAGATTACGCAGGTTACCATCTACATGTGATTTAAATTGACTGCATTTGAACATGACGGTGTGCACAAGTTTACTCTAGCCTGGCTTCTAGCTGCTAAACAGCTTTTACTGTACAGACCAGCCCTCCAGTGATGAAAGGCAGAAACACTGTTGTAAACACTGTTGTAAACACTGTTGTAACTAGGGATGGTAAAGAACTAACTTTACCAGGCATGATTACTTTACTGTAATCACGCCTGCACACTATTTCATAAAAATTTACTGGCATTTAAATGGTGCTTTTCTAGTCTTATTGATTATAGAAGATGCATTCACACACACACATAAAGACAAGATGATAGTTTATTAAATTTTAATGAAATTTGCAGATTGTTTCGGTGGAGTTTAATAAACTCAGCCGTCTGCTCCTTGCTATCTAAAATATAACAGGACACCGGAGTATATTTTCGAGCGTCTCACACTTCTGATAATCAGTTGTCTGCTTGACGTTTATTCAGCTGTGTAAAAACTATAACTTTAATCTCAGCCAAACCGATTTACTCAGGAACAAATACAATACTGAAAAAAGCCAAACAATAACATGTTTAAGTTATGTAAGTGACTTATACATCATGTTTAACCTGAGTAGCAAAAGACGGCGGTGGGTTTGAAAACGATTTGCTGGAAATCCGGTGTTCTCACCGGCTCTAGCCTTGAACCCAGCCTAGCTATCCAGCGGGTGGGTAACAGATGTCGCCGAAAACGTCGGAGCGATTCTGAAAATGTGCGGTGTCTTGATAAACTGAGCAGATAGTTGAGGTTTACACAGCTACATTCTCGCCTGAAAATATGTTAAATGTTTATTTTGTGACCCAGAAAGTAGAATAAGAGTAATATTAAAACTAACTAGCTGCCGCCATTGTTGGAAACTGAGCTGGGCTGCGCTATGAATTCTGGGATAGGTTGGGCCACGAAGTATACACCCGGACCCATCCTTCAAATCTGGGGAAATTAATGGCTCATTTGTCGGAGTCTTCAAATTTGTACAGTCTTCGTCGTGTCGCTGTAACGTAATCGGCCTACAAATGCGGACACAAGAGGATGTGGTTCCTGAATTTGGACACAGCTACGATACCGGACACTGCTTCTTCTTCTTCGGGGTTTAACGGCAGCTGGCATCCTTGTACATGCAGTGCTGCCATCTTCTGTTTCAGTCCGTTATTACACGCGTAAATCCTACTACTTATTCCTGCGTCTTTTGTGATCTTACAAAGCTTCAATCGAAGCATCGACTATTAAATTAGTCGTCGACGATTTTGGTAATCGTGACTAGTCTACTAATCGTGGCAGCCCAATGCAGACTAGGAGTCGAATCACTAACATTCTGATAAATGAAAGGGAGCTGCCCAATAAACTGTTGTCTTTTAAAGGTATTTGTATTTATGGTCAAACTATTTAAGTTCAAAACTGCAGCCTGCATCACCATTTCTGTTAAACATATGGAGAAGTATGGAGGTGACTTTTTTGTTATCCTTGTTGCCTGGTAGTAGTTATTGTTTGCCTTTCCCATAAACATGTCAAGCCCAGGTCACATTCAATATTATGGGCAAGCCATTAGTGTATACTCTGTTTGGGCCTGCAGTCAGAATTCATTTTGAACATTTTTTTTCTTTCTCGAACAGCAGATTTTGCCTCTAAAGAACTTCAGAAGCTATTGTTCTTTATAGGCTGTAGAACTCAAACGGTGGCAGCTGCCCATGTGTGAATGTGAATTTGCGCATGTCTGCAGGCGTTTCCATAACTGTGTGTGTGTGTGTGAGTGAGTTTCTGCAGTCTGCTCTCCAGCTGTTTCCTGTTAGCTATCACACTGCTCTCAAGGTTGCTGAGCTGTGTATGTGTGTGTCTGTGTGTATGTGTGCTAAAAAGTCACAGCCGCTGAGTCATTTTTATCACACTTTAACAACGTGTCTCTCCCACGAAGAGGGGAGCTGGAAGCAGGGATCAAATAAGTAGAAAGGGGGGGGGAGCATTGAGAGGGTAACTATGGGGAAGTGTGTGTGTGTGTGTGTGTGTCTGTGTGGTGTTTCTTAAAGAATCCATGTGTTCTTCAGAGCACAGCAAAGGTCCTCGTAAAAGAGTGACTAAGAACTGACACATGGATATGTGTGTGTTCTTGCCTCACCAAGTGCTAAGCGTGCGAGTCACTGTTTGACAGTAAGTGAAGTGACTCACAGATGAGTTGGTAGGATTGAAGCGGTGTAAAACTTATTAGTCAGTCTAAACCTGGATGACTAATAAACTGAGCTATGTCTCTGTTTTTGTCTATGTATCGTTGACTTTTTTGACTTTGCAAGAAAGAATTTGTCAAGCTATCCAATTTAGGGAGTGTTCTCGTAATTCGCACATGGGCTTGTGAGTGCTTGTTTTGTTTGCATTTCCTCGTGCCAAGAGGAAGTGACTTTCAACCTTCAGGGCCTTCGAGAGCTGGTGGTGTAATATGCTTTCTTTCACAGATGCACGCACGCAAAGTATGTAAGCTCGCATGGAATATACAGGAAGTACCGTTAGTCACAAAGGAACATAATGTCTAATGTGATGGTATGGATTGTAGGCTAGAGGGACTGAAAAGCATGGTGAAATTGATTTATTTGATATGAGTTCCATGGGTCACTGACCACAATATCCATTCCCTCTCTCCTCTTCTCCCCTCTCCCCTTTCCTCCTCCGTGTTTCACCCCTCCCTCTACAGAGTGAGGAAAGCCCCAGTCCAAAGCGCCAGAGGCTGTCCAGTCAGTCCGTCTTGGAACAGCTAACCTCATCTGCACCCCCACCATCCACCCCTTCTCCTCCCATCCGCCCCTGGGAATCAGGACCCCAAAGTCGGAGACAGTCTCATCCTCACTCACACTACCACCAGGAAAGATGTCTAACTCCAGCCCGGCACAGACGCAGGTAACGTGGCAGTTTCCAGATTGTCATTTATTGATTAATTTTTTTTTACTGTTCCACTATTCTTCCCTTTTGTAGTCCACCAGCAAGACGTCAGCGTGGCCGTCTCTCCAGACCCTCTCGCCACCTGCCTCCTCATCACCACCCCCCCACCCAAGGCCCCATATCTCGTCTGTCACCATCCGAGCTCCAGGATGAAAACTACCACCACAACCCCCATCCATCCACTCCGCAGACATACCCAACACACACTCCCAGCGCCTACGGTCAGCCTCCCACGTCTGGGGGTGGAGGGGTAGGTTCAGAGGAACCCCGAGCTTTCCATCCCCCCAGCCTATCATCGCGACTACTGCACCCGGCCACTCACCACCATCACCACCACCATCATCAGCAACAGCATCATTCAACGCAACAGCAACAAGGAGCCATGGTTATGGATTTGCATGAACAGGTCAGTCTGCAAATATTTTATTTTCTGTGGAAAATGATAGAAAGCTGCGTGTGTGTGTGTGTGTGTGAGAGAGAGAGAGAGAGAGGCTGTACTTCAACTTTGGTGTGATTTCTGATCAGCTGCAGCAGGGCACTGTACCCGTCTCCTACACGGTGACCCCAGTCCCTACTCACGGTCTCACAGCGCCTTTGTGTAGCAGTCAGCATCTTCCACCTACCTGCTCCTCACAACAACAGGTCCCTGCCTGCAGCGTGGTCTTCAGCACTGGACAACACTACCACCCGGTGAGAGGCATAAAACAGTGTAAAAGTTAGTAGGAGTGTGTGGGTTTCTTTGTTGATTTGAAAAATAAAACACTTTGTACTGTGCAGTTTCTTTAAAAGAAAACTAAAGTGAGCAACAAAAGTGTGCCAAAACCTTTCCTGTTTGAGGAAACTAGTTAGCTTTCTCAGTTGTGGCTGCCACCTTGTGGTGAGACTACATATTACAGTGACCCCCATTTTATTTCTCTCTTCTCTTCCACTCTCTTCCAGATGATACAGGCATGTTCAGTGCAACATTTGCCGGTGCCCTATGCCTTTCCCTCACTGCTGTCCAGTGATCCTCAGTTCCTGCTTCACCCTCCACCTCACATGTCTCACCACCCGCCCCACCTCCCCACACCCGGACAGTTCCTGCCTTTCCAGACACAACAGCCGCGTTCGGTACGTGATCAGCTTTACTGGCAATGACCTATATCTCTCTGTGCAATACTTGCAGTGACTTATATCCGGTTTTATAAAGACTTTAAACTGTGTCAGTGCTAGTCAAACACAGGTGTGTTATTTGCCCAAAGTTGCTGTTGCTGTTTGTTATACTAAAGGTAGAATATAAGAAATGTTGCTAAAACTAGACCAGTAATGATGGATTGGATTTATATAGCGCTTTACAATGCCATTATTCATTCACTCTCACATTCACACACTGGTGGAGGCAAGCTATGGTTGTAGCCAGAAGCGCGCCCCTCTGGCCAACACCAGTAGGCTGTAGGATAAAGTGCCTTGCCCAAGGTCACAACGACCAGGACAGAGAGCCCGGGGGATTGAACCGGCGACCTTCCAGTTACAGATACGCTTCCCAACCCCCTGAGCCACGGTCACCCCAATATTTGTTTAAGTGTTTTATTTAGCTACAGATGAGAAGTTATAGAGTAAATTGGTGTTCTTTTCTGTTTGTTATTCACATTACAAGACGTGTACTTTTTTTTTTTCTTCAAGTTACAAATATTAAGATTTTCCATGTTACATGTCTTAATGTGTCTCTTTAAGAGTAGTTGAATCATTGGAGTTAAAACTTTTAATATTATTAAACTGTCAAGCCTTCAGTTATAAATTGTGTTATTAAAATATGCTGTTTTGTGATTTTGCTGAAATCTCCAAAGAGAGAGAAAAAAAATAGGACAGCAAACATGTCTAACCCACCATAACGCCTGGCATGCTTTCGTCATTTAATCACAGCCCTTACAGAGGATTGAAAATGAGGTTGAGCTTCTGGGAGAGCAGCTTTCAGTGGGTGGAGGTTTCAGCTATGCCCACCATCACCATCACCACCATCACCACCAGCCGCCCTCTGCTCTGGCGCCTTCAACACCGCTCCAGTTCCTTTCACACCACGACCCCCTGTCACAGGAGCTTTTTACAGTGGTGAGTAGATTTGTCAAATCAGATGTTCGTTTATGTTACAATGTAGGATTTTTGTAACATGAATTTTTTAACCATAGTGTAATATTTTTTTTTCCATCTCTTTTGCTGTGTCTTAGCCCTATCCTCACTTTATGCCTCGGCGATTCACAAGCCGGCGTTACCGTTCTCAACAGGCAGTACCCCCGTCTCCGTACCACCCCAGCTTCCTGCCTTACTTCTTGTAAGTTCCTTCTTAAAAAAAGTTCTGTTGGAACTACGTGGCTGAATTTGCAAGAGATCTGAGTGTACCTCAGGATGGTAATGAATGCAGTGTATTAAACTTCTTCATGCTCTTCATCCATCACAGGTCCGTGCTTCCTATGCCTCCAAATGTGGCCCCTGCTATCAGTCTAGAACTGGATGTGGATGATGGAGAGGTGGAGAACTACGAGGTAGAACAAACTGCTGTCGAGCTGTCACATTTTTCATTTCGTTTGAATATACTGCATCCTAGAATCAAGCGACAGTTAATATGATGACTGTTTGTTTGTTTGTTTTTTTGTTGTAAACATGTCCTTTATCTTCAAAATCTTCAGGCCCTGTTGAACCTTGCAGAGCGTTTGGGAGAGGCCAAGCCCAGAGGTCTAACTAAAGCAGATATAGAACAGCTTCCATCATACAGGTTCAACCCCAACAACCATCAATCTGAGCAAACACTGTGAGTACCTTTTTGCGTGGATTTTCTTTTGTTTCGTGAGCAGTTGCAGGTGTTTGCGCAATTTAAAATGTTAGCCCAAGACCACGTGTAAAAAAAGCTCCTAACATTTGTCTTTCAGGTGTGTGGTGTGCATGTGTGACTTCGAGTCACGCCAGCTTCTCAGAGTATTACCCTGTAATCATGAGTTCCACACCAAGTGTGTAGACAAGTGGCTTAAGGTGAGTGATGACATTCTTTTATTAGGATAACGGTAATAAATTCCACTGAGGTTGTGAAGCTCAGGCAGAGCAGTCATGGCACAGCAAATAACTGTGACAACTGAACTTCCAAAAAGATATTGCCTCACTCGTGTTTATATCTAGCAGCCTGAATTCTCCTGACTTGTAAATCACTTCAGTAAAGAAAATTTATACACTTTATTTGCTGTGCTGTTTGTATTTGGTACATTAATAATTTATGTTCTTTATTTAATTTTTTTCCCAGGCTAACAGGACCTGTCCTATCTGTCGAGCCGATGCCTCTGAGGTACAACGGGACTCTGAGTGACCTCCTATAAATATCCACAATCCCTGACTCCCTGTTGGATGCACCAACCAATCAGTGAACTTCCTTACCCCTTTACCACAAGCCTTTGCTTACACATAACTGGGACCAGTGCTCATTAATCCTTCACTCTATCCCACCAGACACTGAATGGTAATTCTCACCTGGGATCAGCATTTATAGAAGTGTGGAGACTTTTTGCTGACTCGTGCTTACTTTATCACTGGACTTCATAGGCCTTCCGTTTTTGGACTATTAGACCCTGCTACCCTGCCTTCTTCTGATGGTTAACGCTCACTATATATGGCCTTTAAAAACACACCCACGACACAGTGTCATGTGCAGGTGGACATATATGTACGTATTTTTAAAAAATGGCATTATGAACCCTTCTGAATTGTGAACTGTTAAGTTCTGGTAATGGAGAGAAGAACAGGCTTATTTGAAAACCACCTGTATAGTTGTACTAACAAACACTGAGGGGGGAAATTGGCAGTCCAAAGATTATATTTTCGTTATTGTTCTTCTGGTTATAATTAAGCAGTCCCATTTTTGGTGTGCAGAGACTGACCTTTTTAACTAGACTCATTATAGTTGTGCAGCAGAATGAGCCAGTTTAATTTCTCTGTGTGTATTCTTGCATTCCTTGGTTTCTGAGCAGTCTGTATAGGGTGAAACAAAGATACTGTACACTGTGTGACAAAGAGTGAGCTACTTTGGAGCAGTGAAAAAATACACTTTATTTTCTCTATCCGAGTGTCTGTGCGCGAGTGTTTTTTTCAGCAGTGTGAGCCTTTTCACTTGTGGGGATGAGAGTGTTACACCTCCTGTAGAATTTATGCAGCCTATGTGGTACAGTGCATTTACTTCCTAAATTGTTTCCACTCTACTTCAGATTGATTTAGACCCAGTGAAGGTCAAGGGTAACTTCAGATCTTCACAACCAAGGTTCTTGGGAAGCTGACAGTGCTTCTGTGTCATATTTCCGTCTTTCTTTTTTAAACCACACATTAGACCTTTGAATCTACATCTGTTCCTTCTTCTCTAAAACAACTATAGGTTTAGTTTTTCCCCCTTAAAAAACAGAAAATATATTTATCAACATCTCAACATGCTCAGTAAGCTCCTCCTCCAAGACATATTTGATGAATATGATTAAATTAATTAAAACTCAACAATTTCATCAATCCTCAGTATATTATAATTTTAATGGGAATATGGTATTTAAAATGTGACTGTCTGTTTTTGGTACCTTTCTATACTTTTGGCAGGTAGCGATTCCAGTGTTTTCCCCATCACTCACGGGGAAGAAGTTTAAAGAGTCTTATAAGGTCACCGTTAAATCTACTTTGGTTCACTGGTGGATTTTTCACTTCAGCACTTTAATATGTAGATTTATGACCTATACACACTCTTTTCTAAGAAAAAGAAGCATTAATGCATAAAAAATACAGATGTTCTTCAAACATCATTTTCCAGTATTTACTACACCCTCAATATATCAGTTCTTTCAAATTCCCACAGTTTATTTCCAAAGGTGTTTATTCTCGGTATCTTAATAATAATCATCAGTCATGATATGACTAATAAACCTCAAGCACAAATCAGGCTTTCAAGTGTAAATCCCAAATGGTCAATATTTTTAAGATGACAGGCTAACATGGGCCATAAAAAGTAAAGAGGAAGTTCAGTGCGGCACCTGCAGTGTCTTCCATCTGACATGCCTTTTTATCCAATCTGATTTTCTCCTGGTAGAACTCGTATTTCTTCACTGTTGCCACATCAGATGGAAACATTAATTCAAAGTGGATTTCTGTTTTCCAGAATCTGGAAAGAACATTGGTTTATCCAAAGCACTTCTTTAGTGTTATCAGACGTTTTTAAAAAGACGACAACTCTTATTTAAACAATGGGAATCAATGTTTTTCTTCTTCATTTCTGTACGCATCCCTTTTGTGTCTTAGGATCGTTTTGTGTTGGACAGTTTTTCGTTGCTTGGTACACTAGCAATTACCTCAGTCCCACTATTTATGTCTTTTCAGAAAATGGCACAACCAGTATGCTTAGTGTGCATCTGTTCATTTTCCATGCAATTTGTTGGGTTGTTTGATATATATTCCTTTAAACTCTATGAAACTTTCATTAAAGTGGTGTCATAGTAGTTTCATTATGTATTATATCTGTAACCAAAATCGTTTGAAGGTCTGTTGATGATGATAATGAAATTTTTAACAAACATTTGTACATTTTGTATGAGAGTTGTTACTAGTAATACTTTATTAAGTAGTGCAATGATTTTTTTTAATCCCTTACCCTGTCTTTTGGATTTCAAAAGCTGGTTCAATAATAAATGTATAACATGCTCTTCTAAAACACTGTGGTATCATTACTCTTTCCTCAGCATTTTGTTTCCTTCATCCTGTAAATTATCATCTCCAATGAACTGTCCACATAAGTGAAGTGCTTTTTACAGCAATCCTCTTGGTGGCAGTGCAGTTCTGCAATCCAGGTAATCCTCCTGCCTGAGCCACGTGACTTCTCACATTTACCATAGACGGTGCTTTCTTGGCCTTGGAAATGTTAGTTTCTTTTTTTCAGGGGGTTAATTTAAACCTTTGCTTGGGCAAGGATCTGGTCCTAGGGTC